AGAAGACCACGTGCTTCCTAAAATAACACCACCGAACCCTGAGCCTGTCCACACTGACCGAGCTAGTCCTTCAGAATGGGCACCAAAAATAACATTCAAGAACCAAGCTATTTCAAATACTGACTCGGTGGTTGCAGAAAAAGACCACGCACTTGCCTTCAACCTTGCCAAAAGCGTGTGTCTGTCAGCCGACATGGAGCATCATGGCACCTAACCGAGCTAAAGGCTATCTTCTCGACAACCAAGTCGATGGTGCTGGTAAGTGCTCCCTTCGTTTGTTCTCCATTTCACACGTCTGTTCGCTCGATGTTAATCATAATTGCTTTCTCTCCTTTTGTAGGCCATGCAAAAGAATCACGTTGCTCACAAGCGCGTGCTGGAGCTGCGTAAGACGGCATGGCTGGCTATTGCAGATGCAAATACCAAAACAGCCAAGCTGAATGAGGCCAAGCAAAAAATGACCGAGCTCGAATTCGACATTACCCACCATATCGCGCTGGTCAACGCGGCGGAAGCGGACAAGCAGAAAGCTCTGGCCGCGCTAAAAGACAGCTACTTGCGCGAACTAGCCAAGCTTGAAAAAAAAAAAGATGCTGAGATTGCCGAGCTGCAAAAGAGCGCAAACGATGCTGAGGACCGCAGCGACAAAGAAAGGGAGGCCACCTACATCCTGCAATGTGAAGCTGCAAAGGACATATTTTTCAAATGCGGATGGAAGGCAGCTGTGTCCAAGCTTAGTTATGGCCAAGAAACCGAGGTCTTCCAGAGCCCTCATTCCCACTTCATTCCGAGTTATATGGCAGACTACACCAATGCCATTCAACAAAAATTGCTCCAAGTAGGGGAGGAAAATGAGGCATCCCCAGAACTGAACAACGCCCTAGCTACCACCAATGAACACGGTCTCCAAACTGCTCGGTCAACTCAGGTGGAGCCGCTGGTGCCCAGTACAGTTGAAGATGTGACCGACCTTCTCGCTAAAACCGGGCTACCAAGTGGTGAAACTCGAGTTGACCTGGATGCAGATCTGGATGATCTATTTGCTTGATCTTGTATTTTCTTTTTTTGATACCAATTTTTGAAAGCACTTGTAACCGGGCCGAAGCCCCAACGCTTGTAGCTTTGTTTTGAATCTTGAATGAAATCTACTTTCTTTTTGTCCGGTTCATATCCTACTTGTATTTGACTCTCAAATTTAATTGGCATGTCTGGAACTTTTTGGCCGAGGTAGCCATCTCAGTTTATTAACTTCATAATCTACTGACCTTGCTATGTGTTGGGCTTGCCAACTTTCTTTGATCTAGAGAAGTAAACGCTAGTCACTCCTGCCAGCTTTCTACAACTCAGAACCTTATCTCGGCTGAAGAGAAGTAAATGTTTTGGTCATACCTGCCAACTTTCTTCAGCCTAGATCCATATCTCGGCTGAAGAGAACTAAATGTTGGTTATTCTTACCCACCTCTTCAGCCTAGATCCTGATCTCGGCTAAAGAGAGCTAAATGTTGGTTATTCCTGCCAACCTCTTCAGCCTAGATCCTGATCTTGGCTTAAGAGAAGTAAATGTTGGTTATTCCTGCCAACATCTTCAGCCTAGATCCTGATCTCGGCTGAAGAGAGCTAACTGTTGGTTATTCCTGCCAACCTCTTCAGCCTAGATCCTGATCTCAGCTGAAGAAAGCTAACTGTTGGTTATTCCTGCCAACCTCTTCAGCTTAGATCCTAATCTCTGCTGAAGAGAGCTAAATGTTGGTTATTCCTTCTAACCTCTTTAGCCTAGATCCTGATCTCGACTGAAGAGAGCTAAATGTTGGTTATTCTTGCCAACATTTTTCAGCCTAAATTCTAATCTTGGCTGAAGAGAGCTCGATGTTTGGGTATTCTTACCAAACTTTCTGGTTGCTCCTTGCCGACATTGACTGAGAACAATTATTACCGTAGGAAGACTTGTGCTGAAAAACTACTTGTTTTATTTAGGGAAAAAGAAAAAATTACAAATATTCTAAGAGAAAACTAAAAATAAAATAACTTGAGGTTTGCCGTGTTCCATGGCCTAGGAATAGCCTAGCTGTCTTCATCTTTCAAGTGATATGCCCCTTTTCCTGCTAAACCAACCACTTTGTATGGTCTTTCCCAGTTAGGTCCTAGCTTGCCATCTCCGGGTACCAAAATGTTGCCCATTACTTTGCGTAATACATAATCCCCAATCTTGAATTGCCTCGGATGCACTGTTTTGTTATATTTTTTGGATAACTCCTGCTGGTATGAGGTAATATGAATTAGAGCTTTTTCCCTTCTCTCTTCTACCAGGTCAAGTTCCAAGGTTATGGCTTCTCCATTCAAGTCTGGGTCAAAATTTTCACTTCTAATTGTGGGGAGGCCTATTTCCAATGGGATTACGGCCTCCATGCTACATGCCAAAGAAAAAGGGGTTTCACCAGTTGACCGCCGAGGTGTGGTACGGTAAGCCCATAAAACATGAGGAAGCTCCTCAGCCCACTTGCCTTTTGCTTTTTCCAATCTTTTCTTTAATCCATCTAAGACGACTTTGTTTGAAGCTTCTGCCTGGCCATTTGCTTGAGGATATGCTGGTATAGAGTTGTAGAATTCTATCTTGTATTCTTCGCAAAAACCTTTGAAGATTTTGCCATCGAACTGAGTGCCATTGTTAGATATCAGAGCTTTGGGTATGCCGAATCAGGTTATGATATTCTGCCAGACGAACTTCTTTACGTCTTTCTCTTTTATTGATGCGAGTGCTTCAGCCTCCACCCAGTTTGTGAAGTAGTCTGTTGCTGCGAGAAAGAACTTTCTGTTGTCGGGTGTTGTTGGAAATGGTCCCACTATGTCTAGGCCCCACATTGCGAAGGGCCATGGGCTAGTTAATGGTAGAAGCTCTCTGGCTGGTTGGTGTATCTAGTGTGCGAACTTCTGACATTTCTTGCACTTCTTGACATATTTCTCAGAGTCTGCTTGCATGTATGGCCACCAGTATCCTTGTGAAATTGCTCTATAGGCCAATGATCTTCCCCCTTGGTGGCTTCCGCATACTCCTTCATGTATCTCGAACAAAAACGCCTCGACCTTGCTAGGATGGACACATTTCAAGTAAGGTCTTACGAATGATTTTTTGTACAACGCCAATGATGAAGGAAGCCAAAATCACTGTGACTTTGCTCTTATTTTGTTGGCCTCTTTCTTCTCTTCAGGTAAGATGTCGTCTTTTAAGAATACTATAATAGGATCCATCCATAAAGGGTCTAGTTCGGCGCAACATACCTCAGCTACTTTGGGTTCTTCAATGCTTGGTCTGGGTAGGAAGTCGATCAGTAGTGGGTGTGGGATAGATGTGTCTACCATTAAAGCAAAACCTGCTAGTTCGTTTGCTCTGCTATTTTTTTCTTGGCCGATTTGTTCTATCCGCACTACTTCGAACTTCATGATCTCCTTTCTGACTAACTCTTAGTACTTAGCCATCCTTTCATCCTTCGCCTTGTAGTCGCCTGAAATCTGGTTTACTACTAGCTGGGAGTCACTGTAGACCATTAGCTCGGTGGCCTTTATTAAAAGTGCTGATCTTAGGCTTGCTAAAAGCGCTTCATACTCCGCCTCATTGTTTGATGCTGGGAAGCCAAGGTTGACTGCCTGTTCCACTATTAGGCTATCTGGTGAGATGAGGACTATGCCAAGCCCTGCACCATGCCTATTAGATGCTCCATCCACAAAGAGCTTCCATATCTCTCTGACAAATAGTTTCCAGCAAGTAGATAGGTCGGATGATGTCTTGGGGTCATGTGTGTTACTGATGTTTTCTTCCCAGTCTATATCTGCTGCTGGGGTTTGTTCTTCACTATCTAACTGCCCCAAATTTTTACTTGTTGATGAGTCCTCGCTAGGAATAGCATGGTTTGCCCCTTCTTTCCTGTCTTCAATCCTGTATGGCTTGGAATATAGCTGGGCATCTTGTTTTGGGGGCTACGCAGTTCCTGCGACACTTTACATTCCCATTTCTGTTGTATCGGTTAAATCAACTGGGCAAACGTGATGACTTCCTAGTGTGAACTCAGCTACAAAGTCGGCCAAAACTTGGGCTTTTATTGCGGTTTTGGGTTGAAACTTGATATCGAACTGTAACGACCCCATCACGTATAATGATTAGCACTTAATTAATTAAAAAGATGTGGAATTTATTGCCAATTATTCTAATTTAATCTGAGATTTATGAAAATTATGGATATTGATTCGTATGTGATTCTATTGATGATTTATTTTGGAATTAGAAACTGAAAGCCTAAATGACTCAAGATAGTATAAATAGTGAATTGAATTATTTTAATTTCGAGTATCGGACCATATGGGAGTTCAATTAAACATTCGATTCAGATTTATAAAATTAAGGTTTGATCAATTGGGTCTGAATTGGAATTAATTGAGTTATGAGAATTGAGAATTAAAATTATTATGAATTAGATTTATTTATGAGGCGCTCAATTTAATATGTAATTTATAAAGTGAAGATTTTGAAGTTTAATTTGAAATTAAAGACCTTAATAATTTCAGGAACCAAAATTGATGATGAAAATAAGTTTAATTTGGTGTTTAGAGCCTTTTGGGAGTTTGATTAAAAATTTGATTCGCACTGATAAATTTAAATATAATTAATTGGGCTCTAATGGAAGTCAAATTAGATTAATTAAATTATGTGAGATTGTGACTAGTTGTAATTAATTTAATTATGTGTTAATTAAGATTTATTAAGACTTAAGTGTTATTAAATTAAGCCAATCTTATTCATGAATTAAATTAAGAAGGAGTTTAGAATTGTGAGTGTGTGGGTGTAGAGAGAAACCTGTGCGGGTGTGCTGAGAATTTCAGTTATACAAGTGTGTGTATACACGTGTGATGTTGAGACAAAGGTGAGTGTGTGTGTGCTGGTGAGTTTAGAATCAAAGAGAACAAAAGATAAAAGAAAAAAGTCAATGAAAAAAAAAAAATGGTGAACTCAATATATATGTTGAATAGGAATGTAATGGAAGCAAAAAGGACCAAGAGAGAGAAAGAGGAGGACCGAGAGAGAGAGGTAGCGGCTGGAAATCCAACTCAAGAGTTTAGAAGAAGAAATAAGGAAGGAAAAGCTAGGAAAGGTGTGGAATTAAAGGGGAGTTCAAGAATTTATCAAAGGTTCATCAAATTCAAGATCTTAGGTAAGAAATTCAAGCTTAATCCTTATAGATTGATTACTTAACAACCAAAATCAAGAAGTAAATGGGTTTAATTTCATGGAAATAGAAAGAATTAGGAAAAGAATGAAGAAAACTTGAGATAGGTTTGATAATTAAGAAATTGATGTTGTAATTTAATATTTGAGTTTGATCTTTGTCATCCTTCATAAATTTGAAGTCTAACCTTACATGCATTGTGGGTTTCCAAGATTCCAGACTTTAATTCATGATTTAAAGGTTTATGAGCTTAAATTAAGTTTGATATGAAGAAAAGTAATAAAAACTCAAATTAGAACAATTCAAGAAATAAAATTTTGATTTGAAAATATAAAATAGTTAGTTTTGATCTTAATTTCATACATGCAAATGGCTATCTAAGAAGTTTCTAATTTTAATATTCATGATAGAAAAAAGTTTGAAGTCAATTTTATGTAAACAAAAATAAATTAGCAAAAAAATGAGTTAGGTTCATGATTATGGAAATTAACTTAGAAATTAATTATTTTTGGTTTGATTTTGAATATTTTATATGAATTTGAATCTTATTGTTACATGCATGTAATTTAGAGAAATTAAAGAATTAATTCACGAACATGGTTAAGGTTAATCAATATGGAAATAATTACATGCACAATGAAGATTTTAAGAATTAAGCCATGCAATTTCATATTTTGAAGAGAATGAAGAATTTTATAAAAATCAAGTTTATGGAAATTTGGGGTTAATTCTAAAGTTAGACAAGGTTTTGGATTTTTTTTATTATGAAAGATAGGAATTAGTTTAATTTTAAATTTAAATCCATACATGTAATGCAATTTAAGAGTTTTTATTTAACATAAACATGTTATGGAATATATTTAATTAGTTAGTTTTGTTTGAATTACATATATGCAATGTTTGCTAAGAAAGTTGACAAGAAAATGAAGAATCGGAGTTAAGATCAAAATATGAAGTTTAATTAGAAAGTAATTATTTTGGCTTTGATTTTGGATGTTGTAATTAAATCAAGCTCCATAAATTATATGCAATTTTATTGTACTTTTGATTTTGACAGGGCTTGTAGAATCATGAATTCATGGGTTTTGATTTAAATATTTTGTTTCAAGGTTTTGAGCAAATACTTTATAAACAAATAAGTGTTTATGTTTTCTAAAGTATTTTCAAAGTTTTGATCTAAGTTGGCATGGGTTTAAAAATTGAAAACGCGCTGGGAAGCTATTTTTGAGAAATTTAGAATTCTGGAATTTTACAGGCCGCTTGAGCGGACTAGCTAACGCTCGAGCACACATTGAAGGCTTCAAGTACTTTTTATAGTCTTTTACAGACCGCTCAAGCGACTAAAGGCTCGCTCGAGCGAACAACTATTCTCTGCATATTTTGAAAAGTTGCATTTAGTTCATATTTTTATTCTCACCTCTTCCCAAAGCATTCTAGACATGTTTTATGGCTCAACAAGGATTAATAAACTAACAATCAACATTAATTAGTTGATTAAAGAATAAGTCATTAACTTAGTGATACTTGACGAAGAAGCCAAGTGAGGAATTGGTTTATTCAGAAAAGAATGATTTAGTAATAAAAGAGGTTTGTGAAATGAGAACCCGATTCATTTGAATAAAGAAAGAATAAGCGTAGTGGACCTTCGAATTATTTAGACAGAAAACAAGAAAGTCAAGTTTGATTAAGGGAGTAATATTGTGCTTCAATGTGTATAATGAATTGTGTAGGGTCAACTACAAGGGGCGAACCAGGCATTTGAACACTGTGAGTAATAACTTAGTAAAGTAATGTTCAAGTTAAATTATTTTCGGTATATGAAATAAGATCTGTTGAATGGAATGTCATGTTTTATACTATGAATGATTGTCCAACAATAACAAGTATTTATGACATTATGCTATGATTCAAGTATATTACAAATGACATTATGCTATGATTCAAGTATGTTACAAGTGACATTATGCTATGATTTAAGTATGTTACAAATTCCCGGTACCGGAGGTTCCTTATGGAACTGATAAGCTATCTGTACCCGGCTGGAGGTTCCTGGGTGGAACTGACAAGTTTACAAGTTCCCAGTCCGGAGGTTCCTTTATGGAACTGACAAGTTATCCTTACCCGGCCGGAGGTTCCTCTATGGAACTGGCAAGTACGATCTAAGATGCTTTGTAAATAATCTGTTAACGCTAACGGATGAACTATGTATGATCGAACATGAATTCTGTTTTCTGTATATGAATTGAATAAGAATGCGAATATGAATCTATTCTATGTACAAGACTTCGTTTCTGTATGGACATCATTCAGTAAAATCTTTACTCTGTTATTATTCACTGGGCTCTAGCTCACTGTATTATTTATGTATGTAGGTGATCAGGCGCGTGACCAGGCTTAGAGGCATCTGCCTGGGATCTGTTTTTGTCAGCCAACTCATGTGCCTCCCGTGGAGGTTCCGGATAAGTCAAGTAGCTATGTGATTTAAAGTCAAGTTTGGTTTTCTTGTTTGATTAAACAAGTCTTGTGAATTTTGTAAATAGGGCTAAATCCCTTTTTGTCTAATCTGTATATATATATATTTATAATGACGTAAGGAGGATGTGTATATATATGTATATAAAAAGTTTCAATTTTTTTTTTCTGTCTCATATAAGTCTGCACAGCTCAATGGATGTTGCATATTGTTATTTGCTTCCGCTAGCCCCTAATATTATGTTAATACGTCTCAGAGGCCTTTGGTAATCCCAGGATTACTGGCCGATTACGATGTTAAACCTATAGGGACGGGTTTGGGTCATGACACGAACTATCCCAGCTCTACTGCCCATTTCAAGATTCGTCCAGAAAAATCCACCCTCTCAAACAAGGCCTTTAATGGGAAAACTGTTAAGACGATTATGGTGTGGGCATGAAAATAATGTGACAACTTCCTTGAGGCCATCATCAAAGCTAAGGCCAGCTTCTCCAATGGTAGGTACCTTATTTCAGCGTCCAAAAAGGTTTTGCTAACATAAAAGATAGACAAGTGTTTGATTCCTTCCGCTCTGACCAACACTGCGCTGACTACATGCTGTGAAACCGCCAAGCACAAGAAGAGCTCTTCTCCTGGTACTGGAGTTACTAATAATAGAGGAGAGGTCATGTACTCCTTCAGGCTCTCTAAGGCACAGTCGCATTCTTCATCCCACTCAAATTTAGCTTTCAAGGCTTGGAAGAATGGTCGACATCTATCTAAGGATCGACTTATGAACCGGTTGAGTGCGGCTGCTAGGCCAGTGAGATGTTGTACCTCTTTGACTGTGTTAGGCCTCTCAAGTTCCTAGATTGTTTGGATCTGAGAAGGATCAACTTCTATACGTCGGTTGGTTACTAAGAAGCGTAGAAATTTGCCTGATCTTACACCGAATGCACACTTGGATGCGTTCAGGTGTACCTTGTTCTTCTTCAGAATTTGGAACATTTCATCTATGTCCCTGAGATGGTCCTTCTCATCCTTACTTTTGACCACCATATCATCTATGTAAGCCACCATTGTTAGTTCTGCCTAACAATGGTTCGAATATTTTGGTGATCATCCGTTGAAATGTTGCCCCTGCGTTCTTTAGGCCAAAGGGCATGACCTTGTAACAGTACAATCCCCTGGGTGTTGTAAATGACGTGACCTCCTGGCCTGGTTCATACATAGCGATCTGATGGTAACCTCTATACGTATCAAGGAAGCTAAGTCGATTATGCCCCGCCGTTAAGTCCACCAGTTAGTCTATCCGTGGTAGGGGGAAACTGTCCTTTGGGCATGCCTTGCTGACTGTTTTGTAGTCCATGCAAACACGTCACTTTCCGTTCTTTTTTGGCACTACTACAGTATTGGATATGTACCTAGGATAGTGCACTTCTTTGATGGCTCCTGCTTCAAGCAAGTTTCTCACTTCCTCGACCACTATCTTCGCGTGATGGAGTGCCGATCTGCGAGTGCACTGTATAACTGGTCTGGCATTTGGGTGGACATTAAGTTGGTGGCAGATGAACTTTGGGTCAATGCCAGGCATGTCATATGACGTCCAGGCGAACACTTGCAATGTTTGAGATTAAGAATTCCATAATCTCAGTTCTCTCAGTGCTGGATAAAGACGAGCCGAGCAAAAAGAACCTTTCTGGGTCTTTTTCATCTATTCTTACCTCAACCAAGTCCTCCACTGCCTTCTGCTCTGCTGCTTTGCCGATATCTGCAAACAGTTCGTTGCTCTCAGGTTCTTCTACCATCTGAACGAACCCTTTTGCGGCACGGCTGCCATTTACTGTGACAAAACACTGCTTCGACATGATTTGGTCTCCTAAGAGTTCTTTAATCACGCCGGTTTTGTTAGGGAATTGCAATACCTGATGGTAGGTTGACGCCACAGAGCGCATGGCGTGTAGCCATGCCTTTCCAAAGATTATGTTGTATGTGGAAGACACCTTCAATACCCAGAATTCCACCTGTTTTGTCACGGTTCCTACTTTGACTAGGAGGATTATCTTGCCCACTGGCCACTCTGGCATTGAGTTGAAACCGACGAGTGGAGATGTTACAGGTGCCAAGTCTTTGTCCTCCAATTTCAGCTATTTGAAGGTCACATAGTACATTATTTCGCATGAACTTCCTTGGTCAATCAAAATCCGTTTGATGTCGAAATTCTTGACGTGCAAAGTCACCACCAGTGCGTCATTGTGAGGGCAATGTAGCCTTGCTAGATCCTTGTCTGAGAAGGATATGACATTCGTGGTTTCTGTTCTACCCTTTTTTATGGTAGGCTGTGCACTTAATACCCCTCTCAAGTGCTCAGCCTTTTTGATCACCCCCCTGAGTTCACATACTTACTAAAGTTCGACGATCCCATGTATCACGTTGATTATGCCTTGAGGTGGACCATCGACCGGCATCCCATTTGGTTTGTTGGGGTCTTACGGGGCTGGCTGTGTCCCCCCTTCTATATATTGGTCCAGGTGTCCAGCAGCTACTAACTCTTTCAAATATTGCCTCAGGGGTGTGCAGTTTTTAGTTCGGTGGCCCTTCTCATCATGGAATGTGCAACGGGACCTCTCGTTGTAGCCCCTTTGTGCTTCTCTCAACTTGGCTGGCCGCCGAATATAGGGTTCATTACGTATCTCGCTGAGAATCCGGTAGATTGATTTTTTGAACACGGTGGTGATGACAGTGCGGACCCTTAACTTCCTTTTTTCTGGGTCCTCTCTATTAGCTCGCTTGCCTCGACCATTTCTACTTGGTTGTTCTACCGTATTAACTTTTGCGGTAGCCTTTTTATCTGGTACTGCTGCTGTGCCAGATTTTGCTTTAGCACGGGCGCTATCTTCCTCTACTCGGATATGTTGATACACCCTTTCTATTAGGGCCTCCATCATGAGGGGTGGCATCATGGTAATTGAGTCCCTCAATTTATTTCCGACTAGTAGACCTTTCTTGTATTGTGCGATGGCGAGATTTGTAGGGCAATCCCCAATCTGGTTGAAAGTCTCCCAATATCGACTGTTGTAAGACCTCAACGTCTCTCTTTCGCCCATGTCAATGGAGAGTAGCTGATCAATCTCCACTGGTGTCTTGGTGTTCGTCCTGAATCTGGTTATGAACGCTTCTGCTAGTTATGCCCATGAGGCGATGCTACCTTCAGGCAGCCTTTCGAACTAGGTTAGACCTAGGTCGCCAAGGCTGGATGGAAACAGCATACGCATTAGAGCCTCGTTCCGCCGGTATACTGCCATAACTTGGCGAAAGTGGCTTAAGTGCATGTAGGGGTCTAACTTCCCTTCATAAATAGTGAATTTGGGCTGATGGAAGCCTGAAAGTAATGGTGCGTTCTCTATCGCCGGAATGAACGGCAAGCTCTGTAGCCTTGATAATACTTTATCTGTTGGTTCGTAAGCAAGGCGCGGTATTGGTATCCCTACCTCGACATTTCCATGTGTCCTTAGGGCCAATCGCTGCAGAGCTGAAACTCTATGAGGGTCACGAGCCCTGGTGTTCTCCTTCCGTCGGGCCCTCTCGTCGAGCACTGTCCGCAAGTCCACTGACCTAGGCAACTCCGTGTGCCTAGATGTCATTTGGTGCGTGTGCGAGGGGTAATACCTGCTTCCTTCTGTATATGACCTTTCAGTCCACGTTCTTTCAGACCTGGAGTGACGAGTCCTGGAAGTCCTTGATTGAGTGTTGCCTGTCTAAGGCTCCTACTTTCGGCTTGCGAAAGTGTGGTATGTCTGTCACGACCTTTCAAGTGGCGAGGAGGCATGTTGCCTTTGCGCCCCTCTCCTGTCGCCAGCTCTTTTCCCTTTATCTGGCGCTTCATTGTCTCCATGTCCGCCGCCATCCTCCTTATTAACTCGTCTTGCTCCCTCACGCGATCCTCCAGAACTTGAGGATCCAGCCTTCGCTTCTGTCTCTCAGGACTTTGAGAGCGACGGGGGCTAGTGCCTCATCTCTCCCTCGTGTCCCTTCGGGAGTTTCATCACTGGAGTTCTAAATCCGCCATGGAAGAGATATAAGGTAAACCTTTGCGCCTCCCACCTCCCTCCGGGGTTTGCCCATCAATAGCAGATTGCGGTAAGTCTTCATTGTGCGACATTACTTTCAATTAGAGAGGAAAACTTGATCAACAGGTTTTGTTCTTTGTGAAATTCCCACAGACGGCGCCAATTGTACGAGCACGAAATAATTCTTCTCGTATAATCATGTTGATCAAGTGTGCGCTCCTCCAAACATCCTTGCTTTACTTCCTGAAAACACAAACGTGAGCTAGCCGGCGGGTGTGTGCCATAAACCCCTCCGATGCCTAAGTCAGCAAATAGACAATAGACAAAAGCTCTGTGTATTTAGGAGTCAAAATTGTGATACCTGTCCATAGGTTCTGTTATGAGCTTTTATAGATTTTGCCTTGCACAATCCTAGTAGAACTCTTATTCTCCAATATAGAGTCATCCCAGGAATCACACTCCTAAAGCTAATGTTTATCCTTCAACACCCTCCTCACTGCTTAACCAAGTGAGATGGTTTTACCACGGTAACATCACCAAACAACCGAGATACCCCTTAGCCTTTGGAGGCTCAGCTCGGTGCGTCCCCAAGCAATGCTTAGCTCGGTCATTGTTCAACTGTACCTCAGATCTGAACACTATGACCGAGCTGATTATTACCACTCCAGTCGAGGTAACGATAACTTTACTTAGACCGAGTTGACAGAAGCCAGGTCCAATTACTGAATCCTCTTCACTACGGCCCATAGATCAGTCCACTACAACATCTGGGCCTAGCTCGGCCCTAGCTGCACATAACAACTCCCTCTCAATAACCATTTATGTTCAACTTGGTTCAACCTCTGAGAGGCAAACACCATTTCACAAATTTAGGACTCACAGATTTCATAAGAATAGTTGCTTCAAAGGTTTTAACAATTTGTGGAGTGTAAGTTTGAATAAAAAACAACTTTGTTGCCAATGCATGATTTTATTTTCAAAAAATTTTAAATTCCTATCCTTCCAAATCAGCCATAAGGAAACAAAAAAAAGAATTTTAGGTTGTGTTTGGTAGAGTTTTCTAAATATCATTTGAGAATAGAATTGTATTTTGAGTTTGTGAGTTTTGGAATTATGATTTGAGTGTGAAAAATTGATTTGGTGAATGAGTTTTGAAAAGAATTTTAAATTGAGTGGGAAATTTTTGATATGACATATGATATATTATACAAAAACTTACAACTCATAACCAAACACACAACTCAAAATTATATTCAAAGCCCATAAAAAAAATTTAAAAAAAAAAATTCAAAATTTTTTTATTTCAAATATAAAAAATAATAGGTGCCAATTGTAAAAAATAAAATAAAATAAAATACACTGTTCCGGTAAATTGGCCGGATGTCCGGAAGGACGACCTGCCGGACATTCGGGGGACGACCGATTAGCCTAAATTTTCTCACCTTAGACAGAATTTTTAAAAGTGAATATGAAATTAATTTTTAAAAACTATAAACAAAAAATACACTCAAAACATAAGATATAAATATATTTAGAGAATACAACTAAACATACCCTAGTGTTTTTTCCATAGAAGCGAATGATTGTTTTCCTTTCAATATACGCTCTATGCAAGAGTTAAGAGAGATACCTCTATCACGAGGGATATATTGGGAGCCAAATCACGTTTGCCAATTTACCAGTGATTTCAATAGTACTGGTAAATATTTGTACTGCATTCATTAACTTTTGGTCTCATGAAAAGGAGGTATCATTCAATTGTCCGAGTACTTTACTGATCAGGGTTGATTTGAAAATGGAGTGGGTTTCACGTGGCGATAGTTTGGATTGAAGGTTGTTATTTACGTATGTGAAATTTATTAAGAGTTTTATTTTAATAATTTAAATTATTTATTTTATAAGATTTTTTTGTCATTCACATAAAAAATTAAGTTGATTTGATAATTATAATTTATTCAATATATAAGGTTTATCACAAAAAATAGATAGCTTAATTTTAAAAACACATTTGTCGTTCATTTTGATAGACAAAAATGTAATAAATTAAATAAGATACGATTATCGAATTGATTTGACTTTTTTTTTTTTGTGGATAATATATATGAAAAATATTACGAAATGAACATTTTAAATTTTTAAAATAAAACCTATGGTAAGCTTTATGGCCTAGACATAGGCCCTGTTTGGTAGAGCTGTGGGAAAGTGATTATAACTTATAATCTAACAGTTTATAGCTTATAACTGTGAACATAAGCTGATTTTTGACTTATAAATTAAGTTTCTCCTCCCCCACTCAAAGAATAAATTGATTTTTGACTTACAAAAAACTATAAGCTGTATTATTAAGCTAAACCAAACACATCAAAATAACTTAAATTAAGCTAAAAGCTTAAATAAACTGAAAATAAGCCCTACCAAACGGGGCCCTAGACTTTCTCATCCAAATTTTGTACTGGTTGGAATCTAATTCCTTTGAGAATTGGCTTTTTGTTAGTGATTTTTTTTTTAATTTGTTATGAAACGAAAAAAGATAAAATTATGTGTTTGAGAATAACTTTTTTACTAACTTTTTAAGTTATATAGAAAAACATAAAAGCTAATGGAGTATTTTGATTTTTTACTTGAAATTCTCATCTTACCTTTGTTTTAGTTGTATGAAAAAAAAATAAATAAATAAATTAGTGTTAAGGTATGTTGGATTTTTTACACTAGTAGAAACTAAGGTATGCTTGGTTTCAAACATGACCTTAGTTTAAAATTTGGCTATTCACCCAAAAACAAAAAGTCATGTTTGGTTTAATTTTTAGAAATTTGTTTCAAAAATTTTTAGATTGAAAATTAATTTGGTGAAAAAAAAAATTATTTTTATATAATTTTATCTTTTGAAAGACCAGAAATAATTTTTAAAAATTTAAAAATATCTTTCTGATATTTATTTTTATCAAACTAGATTTTATTTTTTCAAAATAATAATAATAATAATTTTTGTTTGAAAAACAAACCAAACATGCCCTAATTTTTTTAGATACATGCTAAATATATATTGATTTTTTAACTTTTTCACTAAAAATATCTATTCCCAAATGAGGAGTCATTCTCATAGTTTTTAATGGCAAACTCTCCTTTCTCTATGTAGTTTGGTTTACCAACAAGTTTATAGACACGAAACTGATACACTTATCTAGTCTTCCCAAACTTAGCCTCAATATACGCTCTATGCAAGAGTTAAAAGAGATACCTCTATCACGAGGGATATATTGGGAGCCAAATCACGTTTGCCAATTTATCCGTGATTTCAATAGTACTGGTAAATATTTGAACTGCATTCATTAACGTTTGGTCTCATGAAAAGGAGGTATCATTCAATTGTCCGAGTACTTTACTGATCAGGGTTGATTTGAAAATGGAGTGGGTTTCACGTGGCGGTAGTTTGGATTGAAGGTTGTTATTTACGTATGTGAAATTTATTAAGAGTTTTATTTTAATAATTTAAATTATTTATTTTATAAGATTTTTTTGTCATTCACATAAAAAATTAAGTTGATTTGATAATTATAATTTATTCAATATATAAGGTTTATCACAAAAAATAGATAGCTTAATTTTAAAAACACATTTGTCGTTCATTTTGATAGTCAAAAATGTGATAAATTGAATAAGATACGATTATCGAATTGATCTGACTTTTCTTTTTTGTGAATAATAAATATGAAAAATATTACGAAATGAACATTTTAAATTTTTAAAATAAAACCTGTGGTAAGCTTTATGGCCTAGACATAGACCCTGTTTGGCAGAACTGTAGAAAAGTGATTATAACTTATAGTCTAACAGCTTATAGTTTATAGCTGTGAACATAAGTTGATTTTTGACTTATAAATTAAGTTTCTCCTCCCCCACTCAAAGAAAAAATTGATTTTTGACTTACAAAAAATTATAAGCTGTATTATTAAGCTGAACCAAACACATCAAAATAATTTAAATTAAGCTAAAAACTTAAATAAACTGAAAATAAACCCTACCAAATAGGGTCATAGACTCTCTCATCCAAATTTTGTATTGGTTGGAATCTAATTCCTTTGAGAATTGGCTTTTTGTTAGTGATTTTTTTTTTAATTTGTTATGAAACGAAAAAAGATAAAATTATGTGTTTGAGAATAACTTTTTTACTAACTTTTTAAGTTATATAGAAAAACATAAAAGCTAATGGAGTATTTTGATTTTTTACTTGAAATTCTCATCTTACCTTTGTTTTAGTTGTATGAAAAAAAAATAAATAAATAAATTAGTGTTAAGGTATGTTGGATTTTTTACACTAGTAGAAACTAAGGTATGCTTGGTTTCAAACATGACCTTAGTTTAAAATTTGGCTATTCACCCAAAAACAAAAAGTCATGTTTGGTTTAATTTTTAGAAATTTGTTTCAAAAATTTTTAGATTGAAAATTAATTTGGTGAAAAAAAAAATTATTTTTATATAATTTTATCTTTTGAAAGACCAGAAATAATTTTTAAAAATTTAAAAATATCTTTCTGATATTTATTTTTATCAAACTAGATTTTATTTTTTCAAAATAATAATAATAATAATTTTTGTTTGAAAAACAAACCAAACATGTCCTAATTTTTTTAGATACATGCTAAATATATGTGGATTTTTTAACTTTTTCACTAAAAATATCTATTCCCAAATGAGGAGTCATTCTCATAGTTTTTAATGGCAAACTCTCCTTTCTCTAAGTAGTTTGGTTTACCAACAAGTTTATAGACACGAAACTGTACATAAAATATAAGTGAAATAATTTACGTAAAATTATATGTTTTATGGTGAATTTCACCATCTAATATACATAATCAAAATTATTTTATGTGATTGAATTTATAGTTAATTTGTGTCCATACATAATCTTGTTATTGGTTTATATATGCATAATCCCTTACAATTTAAAAATAATATATATTTTTTTCGGTTGTTAGTCATTTTTTTTGTTGTGTGTGGATTTAAAATGCACCATCAAACTTATTAATGGCTTGAATGGAAAAATTAAAATATCCTTACACATAAATAGTCTTGTTGTATAAATCGTGAGTATTTTAGTTATTTTTTGAGAGATAAAATTACTTTAACCTTCTTGTGATTTACTTTATATGCAACTATTCCTTAATATTTGAAAATTAGTACATAACTCTTTAATGTCTTACCATATGTTTCGCACTTGCGATTAATTTTAACAGCATATTTGGCAATGTATTTTAGTCTACAAATTATATGAGGTTATGTATTTATTTTCAAAAGACAAGACAATAAATTGCACATGAGGTAGAGTGGAGTTTGCACTTGTTTTTAAGAGCAGTAGATCTACTTATCCAAAATTCCTATCAAAAATTTTATCCCAAATTAAAAAGTATGGTCAAATTTTAATTAGTGTATTATAAGATTTATGCATAAAATAAATTTTAGTCACAAAATAATATCTTAGTAAAGTACTTCATATGTAGTATTATTGTTTTAAAAGCAATCAATCTAGTTGTCAAGATAGATTGGAGTAATTATTTTTTTTGATTGGATTGGATTGGAGAAGCGTAGTGGGGTGCACTGTTGTTCTTCTCAGATTATCACTTCGATAATTTGAAATATTCATCTTATAAGGTTTGCAAAAGTAAATCATCCACAAAAAGTTAGATGATTAGATATCAACAGTTATTTAATTAGATCTCATTCTTCTTAAAAAAATTAAATGATTTATTTTCAAAATCATATTTATTGTTCGAAATTCAAGATTATGGGTCAAAATTAAGTCAATTAAAAATATGAGGACTAAAATAACATATGATACAAAATACAAGCACAACCTATATAATTTATCCAATTTACAATTTTTTTATTGACATAATATTTCAATCTAGTGCCTTCCACTTCATATACCAAAATTTCATTATTGTATGAGTTTTAAAAAAATGTCTCTAAATTTTGTATATGAGAGAGAGAGAGAGGGAGAGAGAGAGATTGCAACAAAATGAATAAGCCCATCTAGTTCACTTTAACAAACACTTGTTCTAATTCTAATAACAAATTAGAAGAGGAAAAAGAGAAAGAAAAAGAGGAATTTACAAATCAGTGGTACTATTTTGAAATAATTATAAAGGCATGAAAAAGTTTATAACTTTAATTATTAAAGTTGTGGGGAGCCGAATAATTGTAGGCCAGGCCAAACAACGCCAAAGCCCATTTAAAGTGCGCCTAAAAGGCCAAGCTAGCCCACCGCACTGCATATTTGCCGAATAAATATCCGATTGAGCATAAAAGCGTCAAGAGCACCGAATAAGGGGTACTTGTGCCAAATTTAAGAGCCGAATACCTCAGGAAAGTTGGCATGGACCCATGTTGTGGGATTAGAATGTCCCTTTTGAGGAAATACATCAAGGGAATGGGCACTGTCAAGATAATGATGGAAGGTTAGGCTGCATGGAGTAAAAATCGAGAAAAGTGACTCTATAAAAGGAGATGAGAGGCTGAAGAAGAAGGTAGGTGCTAAAAAACTTAAACCCCAAGAAACCTAAAAAGACCAACCTTTCTACAAGAGCTAATTTATTCGTCGAAGTGCTAATTCCAACACCACGGGAGTTTAATTTCTATTTCAGGTGACTGCTGAAAGATCAAAGACTTGTTTGGACCGAATGAGGGTTCCATTCCTACCTCCACACAAAAGTGTATAAAGTTTATCATGAATCTATAATTATTTTTCAAAATTAACACTGATTTGTTTTTCCAAAATAAATAGAGAGAGAGAGAGAGAGAGAGAGAGAGAGAGAGTTTGTGAAATACATTTGGGAAAAGCTTTTAAGAAGATATATTTAGAGACTTCTTGTTCTTTAAAAGTAACTCTTTTCGTCTGTGGGCAAAGCCTTCACTATGTCTCATTACCCAAAACCTTTCTATTTCTTCTGCTTTCCTCCCCGGAATTCTGCCAGCTATCAATCCCCACCTGTCATATATTGTATCATCTTACAATAAATTAAGATGATTTTAAAAAATTATATATTATTTGTTACGCATATTTTTTTTCTCTAAAATATACAATTATTTTAAAATTCTTATTATTATTATTTATTTATTATTTATTATTTTAGTTTACTTTATTTTATTTTTTGTGTTGGATCATGGAAGTAGTTCGAATCATGTGACCATTCTAACCTATAAATCCTAAAATATTTTAATATTTATTTTATGTTAAATGCATTTTACAATTTATATACGATATTTGGTATGATGTATGACAAATATATATATGGTATTTAAATAGTTGAATCTTCTTTAGCATTGTTAAGAAAAATAACTGAACATATCTTTATGATAGTTGATATTGTTAAAAAGATTCATTACTTAAACATATTGTTTAAAAAGTTCATAAGAAGAAAAAGGGCACCTTTCCTTTTGTTTATGTACTTTGTTCCCAAGTATCTACTATTATGTTAAAACCACCCAAGAGCATAAATTTGATAATCAAATGACACTTTTAATTGCATGATCCGAGCAAACAGGAAAGATTGACAAGAGTTAAATCTAAGATAATCATGTAGAGAGTAAACCAACCAGCCGAACCAACTAAGCTACCCTTCGGAAATATCCTAATGCCTTTAAAAAATTGTATCTTTTATTGCATTTATGTTCAGACTTTTTATGTTTTAGATATGTACATTATAGTCTCGTTTGAGAATATATTATTTTAGTAATTTTTTCGCTTTGAACGAAAAAATGTGCAATAAAGAGATTAATATGATAACTTATAATAATTTTTTTACTTTTTTGCTAAAATATATAATTGACAAACGAAACCTAAGTATTCGTTTATACCTTTATTTCTAGGAGTTTTACCTTATGCCATGTTATTATTATTAGATTTTGTTAATATATACTCTCTTATGACACAATTTAAAATAATTTACATATTTTTTTTATTATATGTACTTTCATACGGAATATGTAATCTTTTTAAAATTTTTAACATGTAACGTGAAATGTGTAATCTTTTTTAATTTTTTAACATGTAATCTAAATATACAGGTGAACAAAACCTATTAATTATTTCTCGTTATTAAAAAGAAATAATAATCATTTTAAAAAAAATTACTATTTCATATTCCACTCTTAAATATATATATATATAGAAAAATTCATATTCCAAATTGACAACTATGATCCAAACCAACCATAGGATATGATTATTTCCAAGAATTAGATAAGTTCCTTTACCTTTCTCCAACAAGCTTGTACATTCTACATATCAGATCTTCTTCTTGTTCAGTCATGTTTATGAATTCCCACTCAATGCTGCTCACCTCTGCCAACACAATCAGAGAGAAATGAGACATACCCATTAGAGAATGAACAAAAGAGAAAATAACCCTGAAAAGAAAGTGAGAGAAAATGAAGGAAAACTCACCTTCAGAGCCACAACAGTGGTGGGATGTCTTGAGTTGCTTCCTTCTGCGTTTGTCCATGGTGAGAGAGTTAGTAGGAAATGGAAGATAAGAGAGAATTGAGAGAGAGAGAACAAGAAAATAGCCAAGAAAATTTTGTCGGTGAGAATGAGAAAGATTGTCATTTAATACCTCCCCACAAAATCTAATAATAATAATAAATATGAATGTATTTAAATTTGTGTCATAACACACATAGGGAGAAGAGCTTGAAAGAATGAAATGGAAACAAAAGGATTGGAACGGCTGGTCCTACCAAACAAACAAAATATAGGTATGGGGTTGACTTGTAGTTGTTCATCATGTTTTTGAAGAGATTTGATAATTTAATGGGTCAAAGAGCTAACCTCCCATCCTACGAACATGTAAATTAATGTTAGCCTTTCTATATCATCCACTTCCCAATTTAGGGATGAAAATACACTTTGACCCTTTTACTTAGAGGGGATATGTGTACAATGGGTAGGTGCAAATTTGTCTTTTTAGGTAGTGGCAATTTTATATTTCTTTAGTCCCAGACAAAAAAATTGAAAAATATATTGAATGATTGAAATTAATTTTATGAATAGATTCACTTAAAAACGCTTTATGTATTATTCAAGCATCCAACAATGATGGGTCTATTGTGTCACCATTTGTTCATATCATAAAAGAAGTGCAATCAGGGTGTGGCCAATTTCTAAAGGTAGTGGTCTCTCATATTCTAAAGGGTGGTAAGCTTTTACACTGTTTAGCTAGGGAGGAGCTGTGGATGTTGCTCTTCAAGGTGTTTTGGCTTGGAGAAGTCTCAGTCTCTCTCATTTCGATTGTATCTTCTGAGTTTGTTGGTTGAGTTTTGGGCTGACGCCCCCATTTAAAAATAAAAAATAAAATGGTTCGGTTTGGAAAGTTAACTATGTTAGTAGGCTCTTTTAGTAGTTAATTATTTTAGTTTGACTAAAATAATTGTGTTTAAGAAGAGGATTGGATTTTTTTAGAGTTGGATATGATTTTTATGAGAAAAAAAGTGAAATAATTATGAATTTAATGTAACATTTTATCTTATTAATTATTTTAACTTATTTTATTTTTTATTGTTATTTTAATTGGAGAAGTCTCAGTCTCTCTCATTTCGATTGTATCTTCTGAGTTTGTTGGTTGAGTTTTGGGCTGACGCCCCCATTTAAAAATAAAAAATAAAATGGTTCCGTTTGGAAAGTTAACTATGTTAGTAGGCTCTTTAGTAGTTAATTATTTTAGTCTGACTAAAATAATTGTGTTTAAGAAGAGGATTGGATTTTTTTAGAGTTTGATATGCTTTTTATGAGAAAAAAAAATGAAATAATTATGAATTTAATGTGATATTTTATCTTATTAATTATTTTAACTTATTTTATTTTTTACTGTTATTTTAGCCTAAAAAGCCAAAAAAAATTCTCTTCCCAAACCTCTATAGTATTGTATCTGCAAGGGATAATGGAGAGAGTCTCTCTCTAGGCGATTTTCAACGACTTTTCAACTTCTTTTTAATACAGTGAATTTGCACTATAATACAGTGATTGAACGAGTCATACAATGAATTATAAATACTAATATCCAAGATTTGACTCTCCTTAGTCATATTTTTTTTTAAATTTGATTCATATACATAATTTGCAAATAATTACATACATCTTATGAGTAGTCTCAGCTTTCAAAAATTTTAAGTCATGACTAGAGGTGATGTACATCCACCATTATCAAAAATAATAATAATAATAATTTTTAAAAAATAAAAATAAAATATTTCTGTAAAATCTAGTGCTATTTTATGACGTGGCACACTGTCCCAACTGGACATGGGGATAGCATCAACAAGAATAAGAGGTTAGAACTAGGGGAGGCCAAATCATTATAATATAATCTTTATTATAATAATTATTGTATTACTATCAAAAGTAGTTCGCTAACCTTTACTTAAATGTACTTATTAGCATTTGCACTATTCACTCAGTTAAATCCAGTTCAGATAGTTGAGTGTAACATGACAAAGTATGGTTATTTTTTTACCTTGTTTTGGTAGCCAATATGTCATTATGATAAGGGGATTACAAATCCAGAAGGATATGGACAACTATGTGAGTGATAATGATGCCTTTTTTCAACCTTAAGAGCTCAGACCCTAATATTCAAAATGGAATATGAGCGAGGGAGATAGTAAGTGTGAAACTTCAGGACATGCTCAATACTTGGATATGCAACAATATAATATATTTTTGTTATGGGTAATGTTAAGAACAGTCTTTAGGGTAATGTTGTTAGTATTGAAAAATATATAAAAAGATGTATAAAATTTATAAAAAAAATATGTTGGGATTATAAATATTTTGTCATTTTGTGTTTCTTGAAGACGATTTTTATAGGTGTCATTAGCCGAACACATTTTTATTATAAAGAGAAACTTCCTAAGATAGGTCCGTCAAAATTCTCTAAAAATGTCATTGACATATCATTTGGGATAAATTTTTTATTTGCAAATCATTTTTCATTTATAATTGATAATTGATAGGAATTACTTAAGTTTAAAAGACACAAGTAAGAATTAAACTTAAAACATTTGAATTTATAGCTATCTTCAAACTCGTACTTACTGTGAATTGACAGAGGCAAAATTAAAAATTTATTTTACGATGGGCTAAAGAAAATTTCAATAAAACAAATTACACACAAAAACATAACTAGTAAATGAAAACAAGCATTAGTGTGTACACTAAATTATGAATATGACAAGAAAAAATTCATTAAAAAAGTGGTTTTATACATTCGTATTAGTGTACATTAATGATAAAATGTCTTTGAATATTCAGCAAAACTCAATTTAAAATGATAACCAACACCTTTTTTTTTTTTTAAACAAACAACCCCTTATCCACAATAATAAGATGAATGTAAAGTCTATGTCCCAAAATTTCCTTTTAAAATATAAATATAATAAATTTCCTATATCACGACATGGAAATTTTATATACATAGAAAATATATACATAAAAAATATAAAACAAATTATAAATACACTCCTTAAAGTTTGCATAATATATAGATTATTCTTTGTGATTCTGAAAATTATAAATAACCATTGCTAGAATTTGTCATTGAACGAAGTTGACAAAAAAAAAATAAAAAAATTCTTATGATCCTACAATACAACAATGAAATTACTAAAAATGTTAATTGAAATATATTACTGACATCTTTAAAAATTATTAATAAACTTAATAGTTAATTAATATAAGGGTTATTTATTATGCGATTAGAAATTTTAAGGGATGAAATGTAATTTTTAAAATCATAGAAGATAATTAATATTTAAAAAAAATTAAAATACATTTATAATTTATCCAAAAATATAATATAATAAGTGTAGCAGCATGCCTTTAATGTCAATATATTTTCAACTGTGAATATTATTATTGTGGTTGTTGTATGTTATTATTGTGGTTGTTGAAATCTTGAAAAGTGGTTGGGTAAGTAACATCTTGGGCAGGGCTTGATCCAATAGCATAGTCACTATAGCATATCATAATTTAATGTAATTAATATCTCAAAGTAATTTTAATTCTATAGATCTGAGATATCAACCATTACAGTCATAATGCTTTCTAGAAGTGAACATGACAAGTACTCTATTTGCTTTTATTTTTTTGGAAAACATACAAATTTGTTTGATAAAATGTATCCAAAAATACTTTTAAGAAATTTTTCTAAAATCAACCCACATTTTTGTAAAAACCAAAAAATGTTTTCAGGTTTTCAAAAAAAAAAAAAATTGCACAAAAATAAAAAAGAATGGGTGTTTTCCAAATTTTCATTATGTTTTTTTTGAAAAACATGAAAATCAAAATGAAAATGAAGATAATGAAAAATTTATCAACACATTCATATGTCCCTTAAACTAAGAATGACTCTAGGGAAACTATTTCCGGATAAAATTTCTAAAAACAACTTACTTTTCAAGAAATACTAAAATATTATTTTTAAAAATCTCATAAAAAATGAAAACGATACGCAAATACAAATTTTTTTCGAATTTTTTGTTTTATTTTTAAAAACACAACTAATTCCCCTTCCAAGCTTCAAAGTTAGGACAAAAGTTGTATGGCCACCGTAAATTTTCTAAAAAATACTAAATGAGAAACCACACTTGGTAGGGTAAGCATCAAAATTAAATTTTATAACGTCCTTGATAAGAATATAACTGTACTTTTCAAAGTAAAATGGCTTTCAATGGTTGGTGAAACATTTAAGTTCAAAAAAAGACATACCTTGTACCTATAATTTAATAACAATGCTAAGTACTCAAAAAAATATTTTTTTAAAAAATAGTGAATGATTGAGATACATTTTAAATATGAATCTCACTATACATAATTAAATTTAAACCGCACATCAACATTTTGATTAAAGTTCTAAACAATTTTTTGATTTTTAATACATAGCTTTTTTGATAATTTTAGGATATTAATAAATCCGTAGTCAAACTTGGGTGACTCCACAGGTGGTAGAGGCTGTGAAAACATCAAATTTAGAGATTATTATTATTTTATTTTATTTTATTTTGGAATTTGGATATTACTAACTATCAAATTTTGAATATTTGATGTGTTATTAAAGGGGCCATTATTTTAAAACTCGATTTCATAATTTTAAGATTGTGAGTTTATATTTGAGGATAATCATTTTGTACAAATAATATCAAAAGTTCAATATATATATATATCTAATCCACACCTCCCAAACGTCCATCCAGTGGGTTAAGTGCCTTTTTTTTTTATTTTTTATTATCTATTTATCTGATGTGTTATCAATACAATGCTTTAATGGGTTTCTTCAAACATACATGAGTGACACATCTGATAATACCTACAATTTACGCCTCATTTCGCAAGTAATCTTTTTAGTCAAAAAGTTAATAAGTTACTAAAAAATCAATAATTTATATTAAAAAGTCAAAGATTTATTTTTTTTTCTATTTTTTACACATCTTTTCGTAAAAAATCAAAAAGTCATCCCTAATATACTAGTTTTTTTACATCATATTTTAGTCAAAAAGTCAAAAAATTACTAAAAAAGTATGTTCCCAAACGAAGCCCAAGTACTCAAATTTGATCAACCTAACATTTCTGTTTTATCATTAATTATAGTTGTATAAGCTACTATGTACAC